CGAGCGTGCCAATTATTGTTATGAAGTAATGCCGTTCGGCTTGAAAAATGCCGGGGCTACATACCAACGCCTCATGGATAAAGTTTTCCATCGTCAGATAGGCTGATGTATGGATGTTTACGTCGACGACATGGTCATTAGAAGCCATTCTATGGAGCAGCATTTACAAGATTTAAAGGAGGTGTTTGACCAAATCAGAAGGTACAACATGCGCCTTAATCCTTCCAAATGTACCTTCGGAGTCCCTGCGGGTAAGTTTTTGGGTTTCATGCTTACTCGTCGAGGCATCGAAGCCAACCCAGATAAGTGCAAAGCCGTACTCGACATGGCAGCCCCAACAACCCTTAGGGAGATACAACGTCTAGTTGGTAGGCTCACAGCCCTCTCTCGCTTCATTCCAAAGCTAGCCGAACACATCAAACCCATCCTGAAGAACATGAAGAAGGGCATCACACGACACTGGGATGATGATTGTGAAACAGCATTCAACACTGTCAAGCACATTCTCACTAGCCCTCCAATTATGGCTAGACCGGACGCTGGGTCCGACTTACAGTTGTATATCGTAGCGTCCCACCAAGCCGTCAGTGCTGCCTTGATACAAGAAGCACCCTCCCTCAAGTTAATATACTTCATCAGCCGCACACTGCAAGGGGCGGAAGAAAGATATTCTCGAATTGAGAAAATCGCGCTGGCCTTAATCACAGCTTCGCGTCGACTCCGACCGTATTTCCAGAGCCACCAGGTAGTGGTCCGTACCGATCATCCGATCGCCAAGATCCTCCGCAAGCCCGACTTAGCAGGACGGATGGTTTCTTGGTCAGTGGAGCTCTCCGAGTTTGGATTACGTTATGAACCGCGGGGGTCCGTTAAGGGTCAATATTTGGCGGATTTTGCAGCTGAATTAATACCCACACCTCATAACTCGACATCCCAATGGCTCCTCAACGTGGATGGATCCTCAGACAAAAAGGGGGGGAGCCGGAGTTGTCCTAGAAGGACCAGATGGTTTAGTCATAGAGCAAGCCATCACATTCAAGTTTCCTGCTAGCAACAACCAGGCCGAATACGAAGCCTTGATTGCTAGTCTATCCTTGGCCAAAGAGTTTACAGTCGCTCGCCTAGAGTGTCGGATGGATTCCAAGTTAGTAGTCGGCCACGTGAACGGAACTTATCAGGTTAAGGATAATCGTTTGCTGCGCTACTTCCACAAAGCTCAAACCCTGCTTCAAAACTTCACCGAGGTTAGCGTCGTCCATGTACCCAGGGAGCAAAACGCAAGAGCAGATCTCTTGTCTAAGTTAACTCACTCTAAGGAGAGAGCCCAGTTATCTTCAATCATCAAGATGACGCTCGACCATCCAGTCGTGGAAGCTTTCGTCACCGATGTGTCAACACCCATAACAGACTGGCGACAGAAGATCAAGGATCTCATGGTGAAACAGGAACAAGGAGAGAGCATTACTCCGACTGAGTCAAAACGCATTGCACGTTTCTTGTGCATAGGCGACGACCTATACCGCCGCGGCCATAGTACTCCTCTATTGAAGTGTATATCAGAAGATGAAGCTGACTACGTCTTGCGCGAGCTGCACACCGGGATATGCGGATTTCATTCGGGTAAGCGGACGCTCAGAGCACGCGTACTCCGCGCTGGATATTACTGGCCCACACTCGACCAAGATTGTGAGACGTTCGTCAAGAAGTGTATCTCCTGTCAGGCCCACGGTCACGACATCCACGCACCTCCCGAAGACTTGCATGGTATCATTTCTCCCTGGCCGTTCGCTTAGTGGGGCCTCGACATAGTTGGACCTTTACCCCTTGCCAAAGCGCAGAACAAGTTCCTTCTCGTGGCGGTCAATTATTTCACAAAATGGATAGAAGCCGAACTGTTGTCTGTCATCAATGCTCAGCGTGTGCAGAAATTCATCTGGCGCTTGATTTGTCGATTCGGGCTACCGCAAAAGATCATTACTGATAACGGTCGCCAATTCGTCGAGCGCAAACTGGAAGAATTCCTCAGCAGTTTGGGCATCAAACATGTCACCTCCTCGGTCGAACATCCTCAAACGAACGGCCAAGCCGAGGCCGCAAACAAAGCCATACTTACTGAGTTAAAGAAGCGACTCGGCGAAGCCAAAGGTTTGTGGGTAGAAGAGCTACCAGAAGTCTTATGGGCGTACAGGTGCACTCCACACGGATCCACAGGGGACACACCATTCAACCTGACTTATGGCACTGATGCCATGCTCCCAATCGAGGTCGGCGAACCCTCGTTGAGACGGAATATTACTGATATGACGATCAATGAAGCACAGTTGCGAGCGGACCTCGACGTTCTTCCTGAGCGTAGGGAAGTCGCTACCGTCCGTGCAGAGGCGCAAAAGCGAATGCTATCTCGCCGTTACAACACCACGGTCAAACCCAGAACCTTCAAAAGTGGCGATCTGGTGTGGCGCAAAAGGGGAGAGGCTAGGAAAAATCGAGTGCACGGCAAACTAGCTGCCAATTGGGAAGGCCCATTCCGTATCGTCGAGGACATGGCGAATGGTGCATACCGCCTCCAACTCCTCGACGGACAGCCCGTTCCCAACACGTGGAATGCTACTCATCTTAAATATTATTATAGTTAGCATTCATCTTTTGGTTGACACATTATTCATTTCTGTTTCAAATAAAAAGTATATTTCCTCTTTATTATTACTTCATTTCATTTATCGTTTCTCTCAAGTCGACTCCCAACCTCGACGGTCGACATCGACACTCAAGATATGACCTTCGTAGTCGATCATCATCTTCGACATTCGTTCATTCATACGCATATTCAACACACAAGTTGTTACAAGGCAAATACGAATATTCAACACACAAGGATTTACAGGACGCGTTCATAGTATCAACACACATCAAATTTTCAACAAATCCAAGTGTAACGATTAACAGTTCAACAATACCAAGTTTAACATTCCAATGTTCAAACACACCTAGTCTATTACAATGTTAGGCGTGTCGCCAGCAACATCTTTGACAGTCTCCGTCGCCGGTTCGTTCACGGCGACCCCATCATCATGTTCATCGGTGGCAACCACCTCTTCCTCTTCTTCCTCGTCCATGAAGGCACCTTCAGGAATGTCGTTAAGAGGTTTCATTTGACCCTCATACACATCCTTCCGAACGTCAAAATCCACTCGCTCAGTCGACACCTTAAGCAAATGTCCGACTTGCCTTAGAGCCTTCCGGAACCCCCTGGTATGTTCAATCATTACCGCCTCCTTCAATTCTTCTATCAGCTCCCTGTCCTCCTTTCCTTCCGCCCGTAACTCATCTCTCTCTTTGATCGCTGCCATCCCTATCTTCTTGGCTCGTTCTAACTCGCTCGCCAGTTGATCACGCTCCTTCCTCAGGGTTAAGCCGGCATCCCGAGCGTCGTTCAACAGCACTTCAGCCTCTCTCAGCAGTTGCTCTGACCGTTTCTGCTTTGAAAATCAACCGGCATGAGCCTCAGTAAGCTCCTTCAGCTGCGTCCGCGCCTTGTCCAATTCCACCCGCAGAACACCCCTGTCGGAGGCATAGGCAAGATGCCAAGCTAACATCTGCGACCGAGTCGTCATTTCCAGCAAAGCGTCGGCCATTTGTTGCTCAGTCATGCCCTCCACCACCTTCTTCTCCGAGTTGTCCAGAATGAGATCGACCTTATGGCTCAGGGTGAACGAGGGATCCCATACGCCGAGAGGGAGGGGACGCGCCGTCTCATCTACAATCTCCTTCCTCTTCTTCGACACATCACCACTAGTGTCGACCACTTTCCCTTTCCTTTTTCGTACCAAGGGTGGCTCTTCAGCGGCCGTTGTCTCATCAGTCGAGACCAACGTTACCCCTGGACCGGTTGGTTGCACCTGCGTACATTGTTGTCCCTGCATACGTTTGGAGGATGACCCTGGAAGGTCACCTTCAGCCTTTTCGTTGTCGATAGCTTGGAACCAATTTCTGCCACTTCCCTTTCTCCCCATTATCTCTGCAAAACAAGGGTCAACACAGAACAGTCAGCAACAACAAAGCAACATACAAAAATCTCGAGCAAAGACACATACCAAACACCCTCGCATCAGCGTCATCGAACTCAAGGCAGTTTATAAGCTGACGGGAAGAAAAGGGGCGTGGCAACGAGGTCAACACACTCAGAGCCTCTAACTCTTCAATCGTCATCTTATCTTCGGGCCAAGAGGTGAACCTCAGCGGATCCTGCGTCCAGTACAATGGGAATTTGGGGTTCCCTTCACTACCGAAAAAGTACCTCCGCCCAACATCCGGGATCGACACTTTAAAGAATTTTTCTTTAAAACCCCTATACGACTGCAGGTACAGCTCTAGTAGCGCGTTACCTGGCTCAGAAATTAACGACACCCATCCCTTCTTTGCAACCGGTCGACATCTAAAAAAATACAGAAACACACCTACAGATGGCCTGATTCCTAACGCCCGACACAACACGGCGAATGCCTGCATATACCCCCAACTATTGGGATGCAATTGGCTAGGAGCAACATTCAGGGTCCGCAACACATCCATTTGAAAGGTTGTGAACGGCAATCTCAGATATAAATCATAAAACGGCGAGGCATAACAATAAAAAAACTCACTTGGAGCATTCTCCCTACCGTAACATACCCTCTCATCCTCCCGGCAAGCTACCAACTTCACACATGTTTGGTACCCTAGGGTTCTCAGAATGCAACTATTCTCGATCCAGTATACTAAAACTGCCCTACTCCTGAACTGACTCCTAAGTTCCTTCACTTCACTCGCTGCCCAGGCATACTCATCCCCGCTNGGGGGGGGGGGGAGCCGGAGTTGTCCTAGAAGGACCAGATGGTTTAGTCATAGAGCAAGCCATCACATTCAAGTTTCCTTCTAGTAACAACCAGGCCGAATACGAAGCCTTGATTGCTGGTCTATCCTTGGCCAAAGAGTTTATAGTCGCTCGCCTAGAGTGTCAGATGGATTCAAAGTTGGTAGTCGGCCACGTCAACGGAACTTATCAGGTTAAGGATAATCGTTTGCTGCGCTACTTCCACAAAGCTCAAACCCTGCTTCAAAACTTCACCGAGGTTAGCGTCGTCCATGTACCCAGGGAGCAAAACGCAAGAGCAGATTTCTTGTCTAAGTTAACTCACTCTAAGGAGAGAGCTCATTTATCTTCAATCATCAAGATGACTCTCGACCATCCAGTCGTGGAATCTTTCGTCACCGATGTGTCAACACCCATTACAGACTGGCGACAGAAGATCAAGGATCTCATGGTGAAACAGGAACAAGGAGAGAGCATTACTCCGACTGAGTCAAAACGCATTGCACGTTTCCTGTGCATAGGCGACGACCTATACCGTCGCGGCCACAGTACTCCTCTATTGAAGTGTATATCAGAAGATGAAGCTGACTACGTCTTGCGCGAGCTGCACACCGGGATATGCGAATTTCATTCGGGCAAGCGGACACTCAGAGCACGAGGGCTCCGCGCCGGATATTACTGGCCCACGCTCGACCAAGATTGTGAGACGTTCGTCAAGAAGTGTATCTCCTGTCAAGCTCATGGTCACGACATCCACGCCCCTCCCGAAGACTTGCATGGTATCATTTCTCCCTAGCCGTTCGCTCAGTGGGGCCTCGACATCGTTGGACCTTTACCCCTTGCCAAAGCACAGAACAAGTTCCTTCTCGTGTCGGTCGACTATTTCACAAAATGGATAGAAGTCGAACCGCTGTCCGTCATCAGTGCTCAGCGTGTGCAGAAGTTCATCTGGCGCTTGATTTGTCGATTCGGTATACCGCAGAAGATCATTACTGATAACGGTCGCCAGTTCGTCGAGCGCAAACTGGAAGAATTCCTCAGCAATTTGGGCATCAAACATGTCACCTCCTCGGTCGAGCATCCTCAAACGAACGGCCAAGCCGAGGCCGCAAACAAAGCCATACTTACTGAATTAAAGAAGCGACTTGGTGAAGCCAAAGGCTTGTGGGTAGAAGAACTACTAGAGGTCTTATGGGCATACAGGTGCACTCCACACGGATCCACAAGGGACACACCATTCAACTTGACTTATGGCACTGATGCCATGCTCCCAGTCGAGGTCGTCGAACCCTCGTTAAGACGGAATATCACTAACATGACGGTAAATGAAGCACAGTTGCGGGCGAATCTCGACGTTCTTCCTGAGCGTCGAGCGGTCGCTACCATCCGTGCAGAGGCGCAAAAGCGAATGCTATCTCGCCGTTACAACACCAAAGTCAAACCCAGAACCTTCAAAAGCGGCGACCTGGTATGGCGCAAAAGAGGAGAGGCTAGGAAGAATCGAGCGCACGGCAAACTAGCTGCCAACTGGGAGGGCCCATTCCGTATCGTCGAGGACATGGGAATGGTGCATACCGTCTCCAACTCCTCGACGGACAGCCCGTTCCTAACACCTGGAATGCTACTCATCTTAAATATTATTATAGTTAGCATTCATCTTTTGGTTGACACATTATTCGTTTCTGTTTCAAATAAAAAGTATATTTCCTCTTTATTATTACTTCATTCCATTTATCATTTCTCTTATGTCGAGTCCCAAAGCCGTTGTCGATCGACCCAGGCACATCCATCTTCGAACGACTTGGAAATATTTCAATTGGTAGATGTTCTCCCATGAACACCCAATCTGCTTGGGATACACTCCCACTGGTAGCTGTTCTCCCTTGAACACCCAGTCTATTCGGGATACACTCCCATTGGTAGATGTTCTCCCATGAACACCCAATCTGCTCGGGATACACTCCCACTGGTAGCTGTTCTCCCTTGAACACCCAGTCTATTCATACAGACACTTAAGATACGACCTTCGTAGTCGATCATCGTCTTCGACATTTATTCATACAGACGAATATTCAACACGTAAATGGTTACAACACAAATACGAACATTCAACATACAAGGCGTTACAAGAAAAGTTTATAGCGTCTACACACATCAAATTTTCAACAAATCCAAGTATACCATTTAACAGATCAACAAATCCAAGTTTAACATTCCAATGTTCAAAAACTCCTAATCTATTACAATGTTGGGCGTGTTGCCAGCAACATCTTTGACAGTCTCCGCAGCCGGTTCATCCACGGCGACTGCTTCATCAGGTTCCTCGGTCGCAACCACCTCTTCATCTTCTTCTTCGTCCATGAAGGCATCTTCAGGGATTTCATTAAGGGGTTTCAGTTGCCCCTCATACACGTCTTTCCGAACGTCAAAATCCACTCCATCAGTCGACACCTTAAGTAAGTGTCCAACTTGCCTCAGAGCCTTCCGAAACCCCCTGGTATGTTCAATCATTATCGCCTCCTTCAATTCTTCTATCAGCTCCCTGTCCTCCTTCCCTTCCGCCCTCAACGCATCCCTCTCTTTGATCGCTGCCGCCCCTATCTTCTTGGCTCTTTCTAGCTCGATCGACAGTTGATCACGCTCCTTCCTCAACGTCAAACCAGCATCCCGGGCATCGTTCAGCAGCACTTCAGCCTCTCTAAGCAGTTGCTCTGACCGTTTCTGCTTTGAATCACAAACTGCATGAGCCTCAGTAAGCTCCTTCAGCTGAATCCGCGCCTTGTCCAACTCAACCCGCAGAACACCTCTGTCGGAGGCATATGCAAGATGCCACGCTAACATCTGTGACCGAGTCGTCATTTCCAACAAGGCGTCGGCCATTTGTTGCTCAGTCATGCCCTCCACCACCTTCTTCTCCGAGTTGTCCAAAATGAGATCGACCTTATGGCTCAAGGTGAAGGAGGGATCCCATACGCCGAGCGGAAGGGGACGCGCTGTCTCATCTACACTCTCCTTCTTCTTCTTCGACATGGCGCCAACAGTGTCAACCGCTTTCCCTTTTCTTTTTCGTACCAAGGGTTGCTCTTCCGCGGCCGTTGTCTCATCAGTCGAAGTCAACGTTACCACTGGACCGGTTGGTTGCACTTGCATACTTGGTTGTCCCTGCGCACGTCTGGAGGACGACCCTGGCAAGTCACCTTCGGCCTTCTCGTTGTCGATAGTTTGGAACCAATTTCGGCCACTTCCCTTTCTTCCCATTATCTCTGCACAGCACAGGCCAACCAAGAACAGTCAACAACTACAACACAACAAATACAAATAACAAGAAGAGGATCATACCAAACACCCTCGAATCAGCATCGTCATGCTCAAGGCAATTTATGAGCCGACGGGAAGAAAAGGGGCGTGGCAAGGCCGTCAACACGTTCAACGCCTCTAACTCCTCGATCGTCATTACATCCTCAGCCCACGAGGTAAACCTCAGCGGATTCTGCGTCCATTACAATGGGAACTTGGGTTTTCCCTCTCCATCAAAAAAGTGCCTCCGCCCAGAGTCAAGGATCGACACTTTGAAGAATTTATTTTTAAAACCCCTATACGATTGCAGGAACAGCTCCAGCAGAGCGTTACCCGGCTCAGAAATTAACGACACCCAACCCTTTTTCGCAGCCGGTCGACACCTAAAGAAATGTAAAAACAAAGCCACGGTCGGCCTAATAGCCAAGGCTCGACACAGAACAGCAAAAAATGCCTGCAGATATCCCCAACTGTTGGGATGCAATTGACTAGGCGCGACATTCAAAGTCCTGAACACATCCATTTGGAAGGTTGTGAAGGGCACTCTCAGATACAAATCGTAAAACGGCGACGCATAGCAGTAAAAGAACTCCTTGGAGCTATTCTCCCTCCCGTGAAACACCCTCTCATCCTCCCTACAGGCCACCAACTTCACACACGATTTATACCCTAGGGTTCTCAAAATACA